ACTATGTAGACCAGACTGGCCTTGAACTCACAGAGATCCATCTGCCTCTGCCTCCCAAGTGCTGGGATTAAAGGTATGTGCAACCACACCTAGCAGAAGCATTTTTTTGTGTGTCTTTTTTGAGACAGAGTCTCCTTGTAGCCCCAAGCTGTCCTAGAACTCACTATGTAGACCAGGCTGGACTCGAACTTACAAAGATCTGCCTGCCTCTGCCTCCCAAGTGCTGGGATTAAAGGCATGTGCCACCACGCCCGGCACCAGAAGCATTTTTTTAAATAATTTCTATTATTATTATTACATGTAGTTTTAAGGACTGAACCCAGGGACATGGTACTCAAGTGTTCTACCACTGCCCCCCCCATCCCCCAGCCAAAATGGTCTAAGTTGTGGTTGGTGGGGAGCTTGTCTTTTCCCTTTTGGGTCTTCAAGGGAAGGGGAGCCAGATGGAGCAGCCACATTCCTGTTGAGCTGCTTCATCCTAGAACGGATGTACATCATTCCCACTCACCTCAGACTGTTAAGAGTCAATCACAGCCCTATCTGGAAACGAGGAGGACAGCAGTAGTTTTGCTTGACTTTGCAGCTGCCTCCCAGCAACAACTCCACCATCTGAAGGAGGAGCACATGTGATGTCTCTTGATGAGCTGATTCTCAGAACTTACTAGCTTGGCAGAACAGGTTTCAATTTTGTATATTAGAAAAGAAGCCCTGAGAGTCTGAGATTCCCACAGCTAGTTAGTGGTAGAAATGCAATGAAGCCTGAGCATCCAAGTCCTGTGTTTCCTTTGCTCATACTGAAAAGTGACCCGATGCTGGCTTAAACTATAACTTTCTTCTTGATTTATTACTTTAAATTGCATACTATGACATTTTTTAAAAAAACCTCTTTTTCTCTAGGGAACAATGTCTCTGTATTTTGGAACAATTTTCAGGAGAAAATCTTTTTGGTGCTATAGACTGCTGTCAACCTACATCACTAAGACACGGTGAGTTTTGACCAACCTGAGCTCTGATTATTTTTGGTCTCTTCAACACTAAAATCTAAACTATCAGAAAGAAAAT